CGTGAGGCCACACTGCAGTAATATCTTTTCAAAATCTTTTTTTCAGCTTATCAATAATAATGTCTGATTTCAGATCAAAGTCAACAAAGATGACATTGACGACATTAAGTTTAATGGAGGAGCCATCCCCCCTGATATCACCAACAAGCTGCAGCAGCTCGATACCAAGGTGGGACACAGCTAGTTCCTCTTTCTCCATATTTTAAATCCGGTGTATAAAGCCACTGCCATACAACACATCTGCCATGTTTATTTTCAGGTGTCAACGCTTGAGACCAAAGTGTCGGCACTAGAACTGGTAAGACATTTACAAACGGTTTGTGTCGTGGCTCAGATCGATGCTCCACCACATGTCATGTGTTTCTCCTGTTTCCTCCTGCAGACCGTCCAGACCAAGTCCTGCAGCAGTAATCCCTGCCAGAACGGAGGAACATGTCTGAATTTATTAAACTCATACCACTGTGTGTGTCCCACCAACTGGGCTGTAAGTCCCACTGTATTTATGACATTAAGCAGGTGGTTATTACGGTCTCCTCTACTAAGTGTAGGCGTTGTTAAAGCAGCTGATTTTACTGGTATAGGTCCTTTATGAAATACCAATACCTAGTGAGTTTGTATTCTATATCTTGTTCAGAAACCTCTTTCTATTCGTGAGCTGCTGTAATGTTGTTTTCTTGTTTCTGTCTCTTCTTTTGTTTTTGCTTTTTTTATTAAATGCTGTCTGTAGAAGTCGGCCCTAGAAAAGCACCATATCAATGCAGCACTCTGAGACTTTAATCTTGTTTTATACACATCTCACTGGTGAGCATGGTTCCTGTATGGACCTCCAGACTGAGCCTGTTGTCAGTGTCACCTGATAATCATTCTGTGCTGGTAGAAAATACTCTGCTGGAATCACATATGTTTCACCTCTCCTCATGGAATGATTGTGACGATGTGATTTACTCTGGATAGATAAATTTATGCCTTCTCAAAACTTTATTGATATCACAATAAACATACGGTACATATCACAGTGAAACATTAAAGCAGTGAACTTTTACAAACTGTGTTCAGCCTTTAACTAAAGTGGAGGGACTGACCAACAGGATGAAGGGTTTTGTTTGAATTGTTCAACCTTAGTCAAATTTAATGAGAAATCACATATTGGAGGAGATTCTGTGCATCAGAAGGTCCAGTATTACTCTTTAAATGTTCCTCAGTCACTAATACTGAGTCTGGCCCCCTGACATGGATCAGTGTTCAGACATGGTGGCGTTCTGTCCATCAGCTGATTGATGGAGTCAGTGGGCAGGACGTCCCACTCTGCAGTCACATCCTGAAGTCAGACCTGGTTCCAGCTGCTAACTGGGACTCAGGATGTGATCACTGGACCTGGTCACAGTGATGACTGATGTGTAGAAATAGAAATAGAAGAGAAATGTGTCTGAAAACAACAATTATTCCAACTTCATGGGCAACATTGTGTATATAGATACAGACCAGGGATTGGAGTAAAAATGCAAAGACACAAAGAAAAAACTTCTTTGTGTCTTTGCATTTTTGCTTCAATCCTCATCTCATCTCATCTCATCTCATCTACACTGCTGCCCATAAAGTTGAAATACTGTTTGTCTCATCAGCAGTAAATATGTGAGGCTGATTCTTAACCAGATGTTTCTCCTTCTTTCCTGCTGTCTGTTAGGGTCCCGACTGTGCAGCTGATGTGAATGAGTGTCAGGTGTATTTGGGCACGTTGCAGGCTTGTCAGAATGGAGCAACCTGTGTCAACACAGCTGGATCATTCACGTACGTCTTCAGCCTCATCGTACACCCAGCTCCTCATGATGCACATAAGATATGAACGTTTCCCTGTTCAGTAAGGACAGGCCTGTCTGTGCCCAGCTGTATGGATCACACTCTTTCTGAAGTTCCTAGGATGGCTTTCACCAGAGATACCATGTTGAGAACCAGATGTTAATCTATGACAGCTGCCCTGACTCTGTCTGAATAATGTTTGTTTGTGTGCAGCTGCACCTGTTCTCCAGAATGGTCCGGGACTCTCTGCACTGTGCGCTATGATGACTGCAGGAACGCAGGACAGAACCTTTGTGTACATGGCATGTGTATTGACGCAGATCGGGTCGTAACTGGACAGGTACCGTGTCAAAAGTCCATTCATAAAGGGTTAGGGCTAGAAGCACTCTGAGACACGTTGCTGTGAAATGAGGTAATCCTGGATATGCTGCAGTCTGATGATGACACATGAAAGCCTGCAGAGAGGTCATTGGTCTGTGTGTCGTCTACGTAGCGCTCTGATATCAGGGTCGGGCCGGCTGATGCACACACCAACCTTCACCAGAACCATTAACTGCAGCTAATGGGCTCCAAAATATTTTCATTGTCAAAAGGGGATCACTCATATTAATCTAGATGTTTTAGGCTTAGCAGCTGTTGACATCGATGCATTCAGTCGTACTTTCTCAAACACAGCCTGAACTTGTGAAGCCACGTGCTGCTGACAATAAAAATACAATCATTCAGTTCAGTCTTATTCATATAGCACACACTTACAACACGTGTCATCTCGCAGCACTTAGTGGCGTCACGTACAAACCTTGGTACAAACCTGGGTATAAACCTTGGTACGAACCTTGGTATAAACCTTGGTACGAACCTTGGTATAA